ATGGAAAGAGAAAAATCCCCCAAGCTCCTTACCTAGAGCTTGGCAGCAATTGACTGCAGTGAAATACTCAGGGGCAGTACCCAGAGGTGGGGGGAGAGGAGGTTGCCAAACCCCCTGCTGATGCTGTGCCGCAGATGGGGCTGCTGACCACCTACACCTAGTCACATTTTTAGGGAAGGGAGAGAGAAGCTGTCATGCTGGAGGATGCCCAGGAGCACTTCCCTGGTCTTGTCTCAGCCCAAACCTTCAGCTGGTAGATGCCCCATTGATGCCGGAGCTGCAGCCCTGTTCTTCCCGAAGCACAGTGACCACCCTGTCTGTGCACACGCTTTTCCTGGCCTGAGCTCGGGATGCTGCCAGCTGCTTACGGCCGTTACTTGATGCTGACCAGCCTTTTTTTTCCCCCAGTTGCCGGATCAGTGGGAAAAAGCTGTGATCAGCGTCTCGCGCCCAGGCAAGATTCCCACGGGAAGCCGGTGTGGCAATACAGTTCCTGATGATGATAATCAAGTCGTCTCACTGTCACCCGGCTCTAGGTCAGTATAACTGGATGGGCCAAAAGGAGAAAAAACATTTTAAAAATTGAAAGACAGTAACGTCACGTTTTCATTTTACTGTGGCCTCTGTGAAAATGGATGAAACTTAATTTCCTGTTGATTATAAAAATATATTTAGCATTGTGTCTGTAGACTCAAAGCTTCTAAATTTCTTCTCATTCCCTGATTTTTTTTTTTCTTCCCCTCTCTGCTCAGGGAAGTGTTTGCACAGCCTGTAAGTGAACATCACAGTCTGACTCTCTACCTTGCCGATAAGCTTTTCCGGTTCTGAGTTGCACAAGCCTCCAAACCACCTCTTTCACATTGTAGCTTTTGTTCTGCCTGGTTTTGGCTGCTTTCTGTAATCTCGATTGCTTTATAGGCCACCTGAAGAGCTTTATGGTGCTGGACGTTTGAAGTAAGAATTGTTTCCTGTTCCTAATCCAGATACGTTGTTCTCCCACGGCCCGTCTGCTTTGAGAAGGGGCTGAATTACACCATCCGCCTGGAGCTGTCGCAGTACTCCTCGGTGGATACGGAGACGGAGAGCCCATACACTCTTATTGACTCCGTGAGCAGAAATTTATTTCGGGGGTGCTCTGGGGTAAAAGTGTATTTAAAATCCTGGAAGTTTGCATCTCCTCAGGCACGAGTCTGTGAATCCAAAGTAATATTTTACAGCCCTGTTGCTTGTGGCTGAAGACAGATTTTAACCAAACTGTGTAAAGCAGCGTGGATTTCTTCACTCTGAAAGTATGTGGGTCCTTTTTCTGCTGAGAAGCTTTTGCTTTATTTTGCAGGACTGCAGCTAGTTCCACACAGCTGTAATTTATTTGGGGAGGCTTATGTGTGCCATGTATATCATGAATGTCAGTATCAACTTTCTTCTTTTGAATGGATAGAATTTGGTAGATTTGGTAAGAATTCGGTAGATACCAGAACTATTCCACCAAAAACTAGAGAAATTCCCTCATTACCCTTCCAAATTCTGTCTGGCTGTTTGTTTTTTGGCCAAAAAAAGGATGATAGGATGCAGGCTAATGCTGAATTTTCACAATTTTCTTGAAGGTATTTATAAATAGTGACACTTTGTCATTGTAAAATTGTTTTGTAGCTTGTTCTCATGCCATACTGCAAATCACTGGACATATTCACAGTTGGAGGCTCAGGCGAAGACGTCGTCACAAATAGTGCTTGGGAAACTTTCCAGAGATACCGGTGTCTGGAAAACAGCAGGAGCGTTGTGAAAACCCCCATGACAGATGTCTGCAAGAACATCCTGTTCAGCATTTCTGCACTATTACACGAGACCGCGTTATGTACGTAACCACCCGCTTGCCGTGCAGACTGCACCGGGAAGCTGGATGGCACTTGCAGCAGAGCGGTTGGCTCTGGGAAGGCGTGGGGGCGGTGAAGCGGGTGGTGCATATCCTGCACCATGGTACTCACTGCCCCCCCGATGCTTTTTCTCCACTCAGCATGCCAGTGTGACCCCCAGGGCTCCCTGAGTTCGGTGTGCGACCCCAGCGGAGGACAGTGCCAGTGTCGTCCCAACGTTGTCGGAAGACAGTGTGACAGATGCGCCCCTGGCACCTTTGGGTTCGGGCCAAGCGGATGCCGATGTACGTCAAACCCTTGGCTCTGGGCTGTGCTGCTCGGGGCCCTGCGTTTAGGGCTCGTCGTGAAAACGCAGCCCCTCTCCCCCTCTCCTTGCAGCGTGCGAGTGCCACATCCGAGGCTCCTACAACGCCTTCTGCGACGCGGAGACGGGCCAGTGCCACTGCTTCCCCGGGGTGTATGGGCGGCAGTGCGACCGCTGCCTGCCCGGCTTCTGGGGCTTCCCCAGCTGCCAGCCCTGCCACTGCAATGGCCACGCCGACGACTGCAGCCCCTACACCGGGGAGTGCCTGAGCTGCCGGGACCACACGGCGGGGCACAACTGCGAGAGGTATGGTGCACCACCCCCCGCCCCCATTTTGCCCCTCTCCTCCCCTGCAGCAGGATGGGCACAGGAGCTGTTGCTCAGGCAGGTGTGAAGCCGCAGAGAAAGTCCCTGGACCGTGGTGGGAGCCAAAGCAGTACTGGTGGTCCTGGAAGAGGATGGGAGTGGTGACCCTCTATTCTCTGCCCGCAGCCGTGCGCCTCCCAGCAGACCCTGCCCAGATGGCTGAGAGCACGTTGCAGGACCCCAGGGCTTCAGAGAGCCTTTCTCCATCACAAGCCTCCTGAGAGGCATCTGCCTTGGGTCTCCTGCTCTTACACTGGTGTAAGCCAGACAAATTTGCCTCTGTGGGCACAGCTCCTGGGAGCGTGAGTGGCGTGGGAGAGCCATAAGGATATTTCTGCCCTTTGGTTCTTCACAGTGGTTGAAAACCTGAACGTAGTTCCGGCAAGGCTGCAGTCCGTTTGCCTGCAGTTCCCTGCATGTGCTGTATCTGTCCCTGGAGGTGGGAGTGAGGTGCTCAGGGACATGGTTTGGTGGTGGTATTTGTAGTGTTAGGTTAGTGGTTGGACTTGATGATCTTCAAGATCTTTTCCAACCTAAAATATACCATGATTCTATGATTCTACCCCATTGCGCAGGTGCCAGGCTGGCTACTATGGAGACCCTGTCCTGGGATCAGGCGACCACTGCCGCCCCTGCCCTTGCCCTGATGGCCCCGAGAGCGGACGGCAGTTTGCCAGTGGCTGTTACCAGGATCCGGTCACACTGCAAGTCGTGTGCGTCTGTAGCGTGGGATACATAGGTACTTGGCGGATGCGTGGAGGGGTCTGGTTGGGTTGAATCTCCTGGTGAGAAGGTTCCTGTGGATTGTTGGATATGACCACAGCACCAGTGTGGGTGCGTTGCTGCTGGAGGTTGGCAGCACTTGGACGGTGCCAGGGTGGGTCGGCTTGTGCCAGTGCTGCCGGCACCGCTGTGAACCTCGTCCCCAGCAGCATGGTGATGGATGACCAGTGGTTGGCAGAGGTGAACAGGGCAGCTGTGGAACGAGGGGATGAGTGTGCTGGCAGCTGGGCTGCAGCGCCATGCCTTGGCGCCCCAGGCGGTGCCATCCATGCTGCACCAAGCTGCCGCGGCCTCGCCAAGTGCTGCCTTGTTTGCTTTGAGCATGATTTAATTAACGTCCCCCTCGTTAACGGCCTTTATTGTCTTGCCTCAGCCTCGCCGTGTACGGGGCTGCACACTAGCGAGCCGTGATGGCCGTTCCCACCGTCCCTGTCTGTTCAAACAGGCAGTCGATGTGATGAATGCGCGTCTGGCTTCTTTGGGAGCCCCGACGAGGTTGGCGGCGCCTGCCAGCCGTGCCAGTGCAACAACAACATCGACACCACTGACCCGGAGGCCTGCGACAAGAGGACGGGAACGTGCATGAAGTGCCTGTATCACACGGAGGGTGAAAACTGCCACCTCTGCAAACAGGGCTATTACGGCAGTGCCCTGCAGCAGGACTGCAGAAGTGAGTGGGGAGACGCGGCTGCGAG